CCTTTTATTTGCTTTATGATACAAATCACCATCTGCCAGTTGATCTTATTTTTTGCGATTAATGATGCGGAAGAGTGTAACTCTCAACTGCAATATCCTCAAAAGTGGCAACAACAAATGAAAGCAGATTATGACATTGCATCCAAAAATATCCAAAGGTCTACAGCAAGAGTAAAACTTACATATTGTGATCAAAGGAGCTAGAGTACAGTTCTTTCACCTTTTGACATAGTCCTCATGTCAGAGCATTGTGGGTTTGGCAAAAGGCACTTGTACTGGGGAGATCTAATGCATATTGTGATCTTGCGAATGGGAGAAAATGTGCAGTAAAGGCTTAACATAGCAGAGAGAGAATCTGAGGCCTCCATTGCAACATGAGCTTTTGAGGAACAATTACAGAGTACTATGTACTATGTTGATCAAAAGAAAGCACATTATGCCAAATTAAATTAAATACCAGAGGACCCAGCGAGCTCAGATGAAACGAAGCATTACTAAGCAGAGGATCAGAGGTTTGGTGTTAGCTTTTTTGAGGTGATTTTGAATCTTGCTCTCAAAATGTTGATGATTTTGTATTTCCAGTGACATCTTATTGCTCTCAATAAATTACATTGTCTTTTATCAGTAAAGATTTTCAACTTGCCTATTTCTTTCTTTAAAATGTGACATATGAGTCAATTGTTCCCTTAAGTTTTTTTTAAGCAGATCATGACTTGTAATAGACTGGTCCTCATCTACTAACAAAAACAACATGCCCAGTTCCAACTTAATTGTTTGCTGTGGATACTGAGTGCAAAGTGTTCCAGGAGACAATGCACACCAGTCAGGACAGAGCTTTCACAGAGGAACAAAAACAAAGCATCAGCCTCCTTCTGTGTACAGGGAAACACATTACCATTCAGAACACTAACCCAAATATTTATGTGTCATACATTTTATTTGTTTTCCAGGAAGGTGCCTGGATAAACTTAAGGTTTTCCCTGAACAAGACGGAAGTTCAAACATCTGGTAGCTGAATTCTACTCAGTAATCTATGAATAATGCATTTTTCAGTTTTTTATTCTTACTGTAGTCTGCAGCAACTGCATTTAAACAGTATATATGGGGGTAAAACATTTAGCATACTTTTATCTATTGCTCCTTTCCTAACTCTGTGTTCACACATAATGTAATGCAAATTTGTGAGGCATGTTATGGACTTGCACTTAAAGAACACTTAAGACTTGCTGACCACTCACAGCGAAATGAGTGAGTGAGAAAGTGAATGGAGCAATGCAATCAGGAGCAACTTAAAAATAGAATTCACTTCATCCACCGAAAGACATTCATCTCAAGTTCAGTGGCAGCCCATCCAATAGTTTTGGAGAGACTTCCTAAACATGATGGTAACACAAAAGGAAAATTTAAAATTGGAGTACAAAATTCATGGCAATCCAGACTAGTAGCACTGACATCCCCAGAAGCAAACATATCAAATGCTAGTTTTTGCAGTGCAGTTTGTGCAGCTGAATGGGTTGATGCTTTCCAGTCAATAGGTGTCAGACCAATTCAATATGAGCAGAAGATTATAGGCTGACATGTGTGACCTTTCCAGAGCATGTATTACTTGTACCAGCTTTAAAAATTTTTGCAAAAATTCTTATTTCTGCAGTGCACACACACCCATAAGTAAAAGATTCACCATCACAGCCAAAAGAAATCACAATTTATGAGTCACTTTTTGCCACTGATATTAAATCCTGTCTGACAATTTTTCAAAGGGTCATGATCCCAGTCAGGCTGAAATTAAGCCCATGGCGAAGCTGCTGTAGAATGCTAAGATCCTCAAGATGGAATCTGCCTCACAGGCTTTTGTATAAAGAATAAAGAACACAATAAAATATCAGTATTTTAATTAAGGCCGAGCTCTGAAAGGTGGGAGCACATCTGAGCTATCTGTCCCTTCGCACAGAGAACAAATGTTTCAGACTGTTGATACAATCGTTAGTAGAAAGATCCACTCTAGTGAATCAGTCAGCTCACTCAGCATGTTTGACAATTTTCCTGTTAGTACCATCACTTGCTTAGCAGCATTCGCCACTTTGGAGCTTGCTAGACTCGCTGGCAGACCGCTCTGTGTTACATTTACAAATTTGTTCTGCACGTGCCAATAATCAAGAGCAGGAATATGTTTTCTCATCCCATCTGGCCTCACTCTATCTACCTTATCTGACAGCTTGAAAGAAATCTACCCTTGCCTAGTAACACTGTTGCCATGGCCTTTGTGGAAGCCATCCAGACCCTGCAGCTAATTTGTGAAGCGTGATGGGAATTGAGAACCCTCAAAATGCAAAACAGGAAGAGCAACTCCTTTAGACTCACTCGCACCCCAGTTTGTCTGCTCTCTTGTCCTTATTTTTCTTTACATTGACCTTTTTGTGGCCTCTCTGACTCTACTGACATTTCCTAACCCAAAACTGATAAAACTCTTGTATTTCTGTCATTCTGAGGCTGCTGAGGCATCCTGAGAGAAAAAGAGGCAGAGGTTGGACAAATATGAGACACAAATGAGGTCAAGGTTCAGTCTATGAAATTCTGATGAGGTAGCTTAATGGTGTCCCTCATTATTTGAATTAAGAATGTAGGCTTGCTCCTGGACGACATTATTGCCTGTTGATGATTCCAGTGCAGACCCCTCAGCGACTGCTGGCCTAACAACTTTGGATGGCATATTTTTGTCTCTACACACAAGACGTTCTGTGTGAACTGGTGCTGTTGCGAAAGTCTAAGCTAGATCCTATCTTAAAACATCCTCAAGACAGTAACAGTGGAATTATAAACAGCAGCATTACTGTCTTTCTTAGTCTGCAGGGCTAATGATTGACTCCTAAATGTTTATGACCTTCTGACCATTTAATTAAGAGAGGTCAGAGCCTGCCTAATAGTATTGGCTCTGTCTAGGAACAACTTAAGACTTGTCCAGACACACACATATAAACATTCAGTGATTGCAAGGGGCAGAAAAATTAACACTTATACCTATGGGTATGATGAATTAAAACTAAAAGACATAACCGTTTCTTTCCAGTTAAGAAGATCTTTTTAGAAGAAAGCATTTAGAGCATGTTATAGCCAACAAAACAGATTCTTCCTATCTGGCTATTATATTGCTACATCCATGCAAGGACTTTCAGCAGTTTAATTTCCCAATTTTGTGGTCTTGTTTGCGATCACGTAGTAGTGTTCAACTCAGCATTTTTTATTTTACCAAAATCCACACATTGTGAAATTCTTTATCCAGGCTCATATTGGCTGTTTCCACATTCACGCAAGAAGAATTTTAGTTCCTGATTTTGTGGTCTTGTTTGCGATCGTGTGTGTGCGCACATGCGTGTGTTTTAACCTAAAAATCTAGTACTGTTCAGTATTTGGCTAGGTAATTGTGGCAGTGTGCACCAACCACTCTGCATCTCTATTCAATTAGACATGCACAGAGATGCAAAGTGCTGCAGATGCCATGGAGTACCAGATTTCTTTCCCCACAGATTGTGAATTTATGTGCCTACGCTCATGTTTAGAGAACGCCAGTGCTGATGATGTTTTTTTTTTCATCTAATTTTTTATTATTTATTTCGTTTTTTTGTTGCAAAAAATTAATTCCTCTGTTTTGCTCTGAATACATACGAGCATTATGCAAACTTGAATGAATACAAATTCAGTAGTGTGAGCTGGATTCCCAAAACAAGCAACACAAAAATGAAGTCACATCACTGAAAAATTCAGTACAGTACATTTTTTACCTCTTCACCCACGACGATGACACTTGCTGCACAGCAATCAGCATGTATTGGAAGATATCGATGTTTGGTAAGTGGGTGCATCTCTAATTTAATATCTTCAGTTTTTTACTTTGATTGACCATAAATGACATATCTTGTATTCTATTTTTAAAGATATACACATACCTATTTTTTGTGTGTTTTATCCAGAAAATTTGTAATTGTATTTCTGCAAGTTATCATCGTAAATTTGTCATGCCCAAGAGAAATGAGTTTGATTCCGTGGCAGTTCAAAATTATAGTTGGCTCTAAATCTTTATTGGTGTTTTGCATGAGTACATTCAATATGAGACCCTGGACTGTGTGTTTTTGTGTTATGTGGATAATTTCTATCTTTGTTTTGTAAAAATCCCTTGATGTAAAATCAACAAGTAATAATAACGTCATAAGTAAATTCATAGAAATGTCATCAAAACTCCTGTATTTTATAAAATGGAAACATTTCTAGTTTGCACCTGAACACCCTTAAATGATTACTAAATAGAGCACAGACACGTTGTTCTAACATGTGCATGCAGTCAGAAGTATGAAATACACCAAGTACCCCACAGCCTGCAGAAATAGTGCGCGTGATGAAAAATATACCAGATTATACAATAATGATTCAGATTTGATGGCTGGCTTTCAGGACTAATAAGCACTGATGCGCCTTGTCACAGATGCCTTCCCTCTATGCTTTTTAATTCGCCTCATTCTCCCCTATAAACACTGTTTGCCAGACTTCGTTCAAACCTGACCAATGGTCTTAATTGCCGATCATCCTAAAGAGACCCACTTTAATGACAGCGTTATTAAGTGACTTACGTTAGTACAGCATTTGAGCCCCTTTTCACAGAGAGTTCCTATGACTTTGTCCAGTATGTTCCCTCTGTGATGACTGCTTCATGAAGATATTTATAAAATATATATGCTAATAAAATCTAAAAAAAAAATTAAATGACAGCAAACAACTATTAGAATTAGAAGTTCTGATTTTTAGCAAATAAGACTAAGACACATTATATTTATACGCACTCCTTAATTAAAAACAATAAAAAAAAATCTAATAAAAAATAAACATTTCTATAAACATTAGTAAAAAAAAACACTATATGTTTTTGTCCGTTTCTTTACTTGTGTGAATCTGTATTTGTAAATGTCAGTACATGCAACAAGAGAGTGGATAGAGATAAAGCATCTTACCTGTGCAAATTGGAGGCACTTAGAAAATCCCTGTGTGGTATCTCTTCACTTGAGCAAATTAGGTTATTTTCTAGCTATCACCGTTACCCTTTTTCCCCCCCCGCTTCACGCCTTTTCTTTCTTGCCACAGCTCTTAAATCTCTAGTAACAAATGTCGTATTGCAACCTACACAGAAGCCCACACTGGTATGAAGAGTCAGGCAGAGAGATGGTGTTTCTCACTCAGTCTGAGTGAGAGTGACAGAAAGAGGGAGAGAGTAAAAGGGACCTACATAACCTATCTCCCTCAAATCCTCAGAAAAAGAAGTGCCCCCTCCCATGTATTCTCCTTTATTGTGTCTGGCTCCACACTCACTTCGCATGTGCACACTTTGCACGCACAAATGTATCCCTTGCAACATGCTGTGAAGACGTGTGTAGCAAGTTTTTATTTAGCCTCAGGGGTGAGGACAGCCTATTCTTTCTGCTTTATGTGCTCTATAAAAGCCTTGATTGCTGACAGAAACTCCGACACCTAAAAGGGAACAAGAAAGAAAATTAGCACCAGTGTAAAAAAAAAAAAAAAGGGGGGGGGGGGGGGGGGGGCGCGATATTTACTGTTTGGTCTTCAGGGAAATGAAGAAGACTCGGTGTCCAGCTGCAATTCTATATATTCAGTATAACCAGATAAGCAACTGAGTTTGATGTAAGCTCACATACACTTGCTGCTTCTGCACAGTTTGCCAAACAATCATAAATTCATCCGTCTATTGTTTTTTTATGCCAAATTGACCCTAAACAAAATTAAAAGATTAAAAGTAATAATACTTCTAAAGTCATGTGCTGTCACTCAATTACCAATTCATCTTGCTTTTGCCTTTTGTGATGCAATGTCACCTCAGAGAACTACCTGCTGACACATCAACATAAAAAACATCAAGTAATCATTTGCTGCCTTTTCTCTTCCTTCATTTCCTGCTTTCTCTCACTCTTAAACACGCTCACTCTATATTTCTCTTTTAAAAGCAGCTCTTTATCACTATTGTTGGGTGTGTGATGAGTATCTAACACTTGAGTACTGACCATTTCTCACTACATCAATTGAGGGCATCAATTCAATACCAGATGGGGCACTCAGTAGAACAAACTATTCTGACAAACCTATTGAGAGGTCTCACTATAAAAGATAAAAAAAAAAATAGCAGAGCAAAAAGAGACATATAAGGGAAAGCCGTAGATATGGATTGCTATATTTCAGAGGGACTTTATGCAACAGGTCTTTTTGAAGGTGTTGGTAAGAAACAATCCCTGCTTGTTTGGTCTGAGCCACAGCTCTGAAAGCTTGCAAAGAAACAGAAAGGGGAAAAATAAACATAGAGCATCACAAAAAGATAAATCCAAGTTTGGCTGATAAAATGCCAAACATTTAGTTCTTAAAAAGTTTGACAGTTTTGGTTTGCCAGCTCCTAAACGTAACATCTTTCATATGTGGTCATGCATGGCTTTGTAATATACTGCTCTTGTTTCTTAGACTAAGTAATTATAGATGCTTCTGTTCTCCACTGATATATGAATAAGCTTTCAGCATTCAGGCTCTGAGGACATAAGCACACATTTATTTAACCTTGTTATCGGTGTGTCCCAGCCGTCTGTGTAATTGAAAGATTGCCTGTGTGTGAAATTACTTTGTTGTAGAGCCATATTGATGTGTCAAGGATTGTATACACATGTAAAATTCATTGTGTGTATACAGTAAACTTTGCTAGCCTATATAACAAGTTTAGCTTTAGGACATGTGGATTTGTCTAATTATAATAATGTTTTCTGCTTCTCGGCTCTGTGAAAAAAGATAGACAATGTTGTTAATTTTAAATGTTGTTAATTGATTTGTTCAAAGTAATTCAGTCACTTTGCCGTAAATCAAGTAGATGGAGATGGTTGAGCACGTGATCCATTGATGACCTGCCTATGGTGTAACCTGCCTATAGTGCAATGTCAGGTGGCTTATGTGCCAGTCTAGTCCAACCTTGTATTGGCTGAGAGGTTAAGAAAATGAATAGATGAATAATATTAATACAACAATTCACGCATCGGTAAAATAAGTGTCATGCATTTGCTCAAGTATGTCCACTGTCTTTATTCCTTTAGCAGAGATTTATTCATTTATTCATCGAGGTTTATTCTCGATGAAGTTGTCCTTGCACTTCCCTACAAAAAGGTCAAGTATGTGACATTGGCGGGCTGATGAATGCATTGACTCAGCATGCTTGCGCAGTGGTCAGGAAGAAAGAAAATGGAAGTGCAATTACAGTAGGAAAGCAATAATCATTATTTTTCTTTTATGGCTCAAAATGGTTTTATTTTGGAAGTTAACTACACAGAAATGGCAAAAGAAACTACTTAAATCACTATCCCAATATAAATGTAGTTGAAGTATCAGTATCCTGAACACCAGTTAAGATATTGCTGAATCAATCATATATTAACAAGACTTAACCTTGCAATAGTAAGTAGGGGAAAGTACTCAGATTGCACTGTATAGCCTAGAAAAGTGTAAGTGAGAAAATGTACATCTAAACTTTCTTAAAAACAAGCTGTAATATAATCCCGGGATTTGCAATTTGTATAAAATTGAAATGTAGTTATTGCCCTGAACAGTAGACTGTTAATATGAATGCATCTGTTAATGTTACGTCTGTAGTGACACTGGAACAGATTTGAACTTCTCAAAGTAAAGTCTTCTTTTCAGTAGGAACTGTGGAGGAACTCTGACATTATTTAGGAGAAAGAAAGCACAGAAAACACGACAACAAAACAAAATAGCATTACTTCAGGTAGCCTAATGGATAAAAAAAAATACAAAAGTGAAAGTACAACAAGGGCGAAGGGAAAAAAAGACTTAAATGCACTCAAATATAAAACTGAACATTTTTCCTAACATGACGCTGCGCTTTGCAGAAATAAAGAGGACATATTCCTGTGATTGGATGGGCTGATGTCACTTCCCGTTGTTTTCATTTGTGTATCATATAAGCTAATTATGAGAGGATGAAAGAAAAGAATGTGCTAACCATTCTGCCCTATTTTCAACGTAAGACACTGAAAAACTTTCCTTTAGTTTAAGAGGAAGTCAGCCGAGTACTGTGCATATGCGACTGTGGGATTGTGTCATGAGACAGGAAGTGGTCGTTCACCACTGAGAACTTTCCAAAAGTTCTTTTTTTTTTTTTGTTGTTATGTTTTGTGTTCTTGTGGTGTAACAATTTTTTTTTTTTTTTGGGGTGGGGTATGTTTCTTTGAATTGCTGCTGTGTTTTGTTAAGTACTGTGGTGGTTTTCTTGTAGTTGTTTTGTCTGATGGGTTTATGTTTAGCACTTTGTACTCCCTGTACTTTACTCCTGACAAAGTGTGCTACAGGGAGACACTAAATTGACACCAAATTGTCCCCACCAGGAAGTGTGTGTGCCTCACATGACAACTTGGTTGATAATGGTGTCTGTGTGAAATGTGTGTGTGCTGAAAGAGAAAGACATTGTGAAGCTCTTTGTGGAAGTTTAAAAAGTGCTGTTGAACTGCAGTGTGTTAGACTGGGCTTCACGCAATTATTTAAATAAAGCCACTTGGGAAGATTGATGGTGAAATCACTTTTCAATTAAACTTCCTTCTCAAACATTTGAAATGTGACAGTGGTCCCCGAGTATAAAAGCTGACCATGGTTGAGAATCTCTTTTAATGTGTTGTTTTACATAATTTGTAGGTGTATTTTTAAACTAAATATCATGATCTTGGAAAATTTGTTGAAACGCGGGAAACACATAGGTAAAGCAGCATTTCATAGAAAAATGAGATCCCTGCTCAAGAGATAAATGCTGATTTTCACATTTACAGCTACCTTGCCGCTGAAGTACGATGTTTCGAGGGTGTAGCAGTGAAGCATGTCTGCCTTGCTAAATGTCACGGACAGTCTAATTTCAATTCAGTTCCCCTTGAGGACACGTTTTGTAACAAACAGTCATGGCAGATAAAATTGTCTTTCATGACCTGTCTCGGTTCTGAACTCTGTATGTCTGTATTCACACTCCACTGAAGAAGCACTACAGATATGCATCAGGGAAAGAGATTTTAACACATAACTCTTGTGGTTTGTTAGACTGCACCAAATAGGACTGTTTGCCCATCATTATTATTACTGATAGCCCACTGCCTATAAATTAATGTTGCCTCCTGCTGATTTTGTCTTAAAACAAGTCAATGCTGGAGGCTTGGGGACAGAATGAGCAGTGACCTGCAAGGACAAATGAGAATATCATAGTTGGATTGTGTTTGAGAACTGTTGCTTTTATTAGCTCAGGCACTATTTGCTGCTGTTTACTCTTATCTGGGATGGCAGTAGCTGGATGGGAGCTCTCATTTACAAGGACACAAAGCTAATGCCTTATCACACTGGCCATTTTTGACTGACGCTGGAACTGCCTTGTAGTGCCTTATTGCTTTGTAAGTGCAACAAGCTGGCCATCATTATTGCATTTAAAATAATGTGAGACTGCAGATATTTTAATTGTGCTTTGACCTTCGTTTGACCTTTAGAACATGCACAAATTTTGGATGCTTCGGAGTATTCAGAGTGTTTGTGTTTTGGTGTCATTTTATATTATTATGGTTTATGTTTTAGTTTCATTAGCAGTCTTTAGGTTAGTCTGTCTTGAGTTTCTCTGTGTGGTTTCTTTCAGCTTAACGAGTGAACCGTCAGCTCGTTCAAACACACGTTAAAGTCCGTTTGACTCGACACCACCGAACAGAGGCAGCAATATAACATAGCGAACATTAACAGTGCAGTGAATCCTGCTTGTGCCGTGATATTCAGGACTGCAAAACGAGCAGCATTCACTGACTTTCAGCTTGTTGTGTTTGTGGATATGTGACTGACTTTAATTATCCACAAAATCATCACAATCTCTATAAGATTAAGGTTGACTATTGTATTATTATATTTTAAAGGCTTTGAAAGCAAGTAAAAGCTGAACGTACAAACATCGCTAATGGAAAATAAGTTTGCCGACATGTGGCCAACAGTAATGTTTTAATGTTCCTCATTATTAAACATTTGCACATAAATAAGTGACATAATATTCAGTACTTACTTTTCACAGTTTACTCTTCGGCCGCTCCGCTTCTGCCGTCTGCGGCAAAATTATCCACACCGACTGCCGCGCTATGAATTGTGGGATATGTTGGGCCACGAAGTCTACACTGCCACAGCCTTAAAATTCAGGGAAATGAAGGACGCATTTGAGGGCTGCATTTCGAGCAGCCTTTGAATTGGGACAGCCTTCGGTGCGCCACTGTGACGTAATCGGCCTTAAAATGCGGCCTTTAAGGCTGTAGACCCTGAATTGGGATACAGCCCTTGTGTATTCAAGGCCTCTGTTTCCCTTTGTCCAGTGTTGTGATCT